CCCACCAGTGTTCTTTGTGCTCCTTAATGCCCGTATGTGTACCACACCTGCTCTCTTGTCCCCTGGTGCTCTGTGTTGCTTTGCTGCCCAGCTCATGCAGTGTTTTTACAGCATGAGAGATCGATCCCAGCAGAGGGAATTTGCTGCTCAGCCCTGTGAGCACCTGAAGGAGCCCTGAGACAAGTGGGCTCTGCACCAGCTGTACAACAGGCAGAGGGGAGGAAAACTTGCTCTGATTTTTTTCTGAGGTATGCTAATGACTGCTTTTGGGGAAAAAAAAAAATTAAAAAAACCAGCTGCCACTCTCAGGTTGTACAGCAAACCCAGTGTGTGCCTGAAGGAGCAGTCAGCTCCAGCCAGGGAGAGAGCCAGGCTCTGTGCACCCAGACCCTGTGCTCAGGTTTTGTTTCAGTGTCAATGGGTTTGGGGAAGCAAACTCAGTCCCTGGCTGGGCTGACTGTTGTGTGGAGTCTTGTGTAGATGGTCCAATGTGTGTGCCACGCTCAGCTTCCAACATCAGCACCTTTTGCAGCACCTAACAACTGTGTGGATGCTAAGCAGCTGAGCACTGCCTTTTGTCTCTTCTACCCCCATCTCTGAGATGAACACCACAATGTGCTGCTCTCTCTCCATCCCATCTGCCTGGGTGTTGTAACCTGTAAATGTATGTTCCATTAAGAAAAATACTTAGAAGTGAAAAGTACTCACACTGGTATTAAGTGGGAACCTGGAGAATTTGTCTTGCTTTGTCATGTCTGCATAAGTAAGGGCAGAAAAATCTCATAGTGTCCTGGAGACCCCAAGGCCTGACACAGAGAGGACAGCCAGGCAGAGCCATGGTCTTGCTCTGTGCAGGAACCTGTGTTGCTGTTGAAAGTGTTACATGACCTTCTCTTTGTTAATTCCTTGTTTTCGTCATTCCCCCGGGGATGACACCTCCATGTTCCATGATGTGTGGATGGCTCATCCCTTGGTGCTTCAGAAGTGACTGGTGCTTTGGGGGCAAAAGAACCAATTTCCTCCTAACTTGCAGTAGGGCTGGAAACACTGGAGCTGCTCGATGTGGGTGCATGGGTTAAGTGTCTCTGCCTGTCCTGGTGTGTTCTGTGTGCACGAAAAGTCAGTGTGATATTGAATGTGCTGGTCTTTGATATCTCTGTGGCTCCTATAAAAACCTCTGCAAATTGAATTCATGGCACAGTTCCTTATCTCCTGAAAGGAAGATGTAACAGCATCATCTTGTGTTTTAGCCAGACATTTTTCCTCAACGCTTCCCCATTTCTACGCTAAGGGAAAAACAAATATTGAGTGTTTTTTTTTTTATTTCCCCCTTCCTCCTGTTTGAAACATTGAGAGCCCTTCACACAAAGCAGCTCAAGTGCTGAGGAATTAATTGGGGAAATTAGGTTGTGTTGTATTTCTGGCATTTTCTCAGGAATGGTAATTGCCCTCATTCTCCACCCACACCCTGTTTCCTCCCTCGCCTTTTGCTCACTGTCTACCTGTGCTTCTCCTGCTTGACCTGCTGTTTTAATGCTGTTGCCATTGATTTCATTTCAGTAATGAGAGGGATGTGGCAGGTGAAGAGCTCTTGCAATCTGGTGACATCTTCTTTGAAGCATAGGCACAAAAGAGCAGTTCAGTTTGGGGAAATAAAAACTCCCTGCGGTGGTACTTGACTTCTGTGCTCACATCTCCTCCTGCTTGGGATATTTTGCTGCTGCATTGCAAGTCATTTGGCTCAGATTTTTTTTTGTTCAACATGGTCTCGATATTCATCCAAACACTGACCCTGATACTTAACTCCTCTGTGTTCCCCCAAAACTACCCAAACCCCTACACACTTACTGAGAGCTAATCAAATTCATGATCAGTCTTAATCAAAGCTCAACCCTGTTCCCAGACATGTGATTTGAGGCTTTTGCTTTCTCCTATCCACTGGACTGAGCTCCAGAGAGCTAGGAGTTCAAAGCCTTTCAGTTTAGCTTCTTGATGTTTTTTTTAACTCCTGACCTTCCATTTGCAGACATCATAATTTTAGCCAAATAAGAACTGTTTTTCAGTATTTACTGTTGTAAAAGACCTGGTGATGTTCACAGCAGCTTCAGATCCAATGGAGTTGCTACAGTGGGTAGTGAAGTGATAGGACTTCTTGCCTCAGGAGGCGGTAGATGTCAAAAGCTGAGATGAGTTGAAAAAGTGATAGAGAAGAATTCTAGAACCAAAATAATCAGGGGCTGTCAAGCACAAAATACCTCCCCTGTTTCAGGGAATCCCTGTGCTACTGATAATTGAAGACTGGAAAACACTGTGGGACATATGCTGCAGGCTCTTCTGTTTCCATACTCCCCCTTGTGCATCTCTGGCTGAGGTCAGGGTCCCAGCTGGCTGGACTCTGGCTGCTCTTAAAAGCTGTCCAGGCTGATCTCTGCTTTATTGGGAGCTGAGGATGAGGAGGGTACTGCATGGTTTCCACATGCTTTCCCCTCCTAATTCCACCCTTTTTCATAGTCTTGCCTCTCTCACAGCCACGAGCTCCTTCTCCACACCAGCTGGATGGAGAAAACCCCTATTTGTGAGCAGCTGTCTAATAAACAAGCTGTTTAGGGCCAGGCTGTCAAGGAGAGCATGTTCAATGTATAATCAAGGGGCAACGATGCACAAAATTGCACACACACACACAAAGCAGGAATCTTTTCTCAGTGTGTTGAGCTTTGAACGCTTAAATGATTCCACCTCTCTCTTCCCCAACCAATTATGCAGGGAACACATGATAAGACTGCTAAAGGAATTAGTGAGGGACATCTTTACACTGCCTAATCAATATTGTTCTGCTGAGTTCAAGGCATCTCCCCTCCTCTGGCCCCAGCCATGTTCTCATTTGCCCTTTGAAAACACCAGTTCACTGTCTGGCTATTTGGGCTGTGGTGGCCAAGAAGAAAAACAGCAGTAAGCCTGTTTAAAATATTTGTAATTACAGAGTTTCATCCTTACAAAAAAAATAATAACTTGTGATACAGCCCTGCCAAAACCATGTTCAGAGTTTTAAAGAAGATTCCTGTGCAGGCCAGAAAGACCTCTCCTCTGTTACAGTTACATGGCCTTACAGAAATGGCCAGCAACCTTATAAGCAAAGACACAGGATAATAATTTTTCTGAGCATCACTGAGGCAAGACGCCAGATTTTATGGGCCACTAGACTGATCCAATATAGCAAATCCCGTGTTCCACTGTGGATTCTGAGACCAAATTATCAATTAATGTGAAGCATTAAAAAAAATCCAAATCCCTTTTAGTTCCCTGCAGTCATTAGTGACAAGATACAATATCTATAGCTCAAATACTTTGCCAGCATCCCCTGGCAGCAAGGCAGAAACTCCACTCCTATTGTTTTTTTTTCCAATACCTATAAGGAAAATATATGAGATCAGTGGTTTTTACAGGCAAGATTCAGCTGCCTCTTTGTATTTACTTAGATGGAAGAATAAATCAGGTTTGGGTTACTCTCTGGGTTAGTTATTTGTTATTGGAATAAATGCATGGTAATAGATCTGACAGAGGAAGATGTTTCTCTTTCAGCTCCGCTTTTGAGGTAGAATTTGCTTTGTTCTGCACTATATTATATTGATGTTTTGGTTTTTTTTCCACTGCTGGATGACTTCATTTGCTCTGCTTCTTTCCAATGTCCATACCTCTGCCACTGCTGGCTTTAGGATGCTGCTTTATGTGATAGATCTCTCCTTTCTTTTTCCCTAACTGTAACATTGTGTTGCAGAGGCAATTTAAACAACCATCATGAAACAATTTTCTAAGCCTTTCCCCCGCCCATTTCCTACCTCAATTTTTTGGGGAAGGGAGATGAGTCAGTCATTCACGGGGCAATTCCCCAAGCAGGATGAGCTGTCAGCTACATTTAGCAGCTCCATTTTCACCTCTGGTGCAGGGTGGGACGGCGCCCAGGGTGATGACGAGCTGGACACACCCTGAGGCTGTATTTTGAGTACTCCCTGCAGCTGTCAGCCGGAGCTCCTGCATAGCACAGCCAGCAGTGCCCCCCCTCACCCACCGTGCTCACCAGCTGCCCTTTCATCTTGGGAATTTGTCTCCTGTCTGTCCCGATAGGAACACAAACACCTTACTAGAGTAAGTCAGCAGACCTTCTGCTTGTCATTCACTCTTAATTTGCACACGGAGATCCCTGCCCCTTCTCCTATTCCCCAAATCTTTCCTGCTTTGAAATACTGGAAAACATACTGGTTTATTCATTTTCCTTCCTTTCCCCACTCCTGAGGTTCAGTTTTGCAAGTGCTGGCAGGTTTGCAGGTGATTAGAAGCCATGAGATCAGGCTTTTTCTTCCTCTCCCAACCCCTGACAGTACTGATAGGAGAAAGACTTTTGTGGAAGTGTAGGGTGATGTGCTAGGTTCTTAACTGGGACATTTGACCAATGATGCCCTTAACTTTGGCTATCCTGAGCTTGCTTGAGTGAAAATATCAGGCTTGGGTCTTGTTCTGCTGGTAGAGGCAGATGGGTCCCTGCACCAAGCCCAGGAGGGCTGGTGATGGGCAAGGAGCAGGAGACTTAAGTACCAGATACAGAGGAACTTCTCAAGCCTCCTAAAACTACTCCTATTCAGAGAGGGACTCTGAGTCCTAAGGGATGTGGCTTCTCCAACCAAGGAACAGTTTCAAGAGGCCTGAGCCTCTTACTCAGCACCCGTACTCACCCCTTGCCCTCCCCCCTCTGTGCTGGAGGTGCTGGTGTGGGGTGCAAGATAGTGGTGACCAGGGCCAGCGGGTCTCACCTGCTCTGTGCCCTCACAGCAAGGGCTGTGCAGTGTTGGGATGTTGCAGGCAGTGAAAGACATATGGTTCAGTTAAAGACATACCCTTTCCCTTCTTGTCCCCTTGCTTCATCCCGCCCATCCCTCCCTCCCTCTCTCACCCTTCCCTTCTCTTTTGTTTGTCTCCTTCCCTTGTTTTCACCCATTCACTGTCAGGAAGGGCCACGTCCGAAGGGCCAGTTCAGCGCAGCGTGGCAGCGACAGAGACTGGCACCGCCGGCAGCGGCAACAGTGAGTGGATCTCTACCCCTGGGGCAGCTGGAAGTGGGGAGTGGTGCTGCTTGAGCATGAAGTGACATGTGGGCTTGAGAGGCTTTGGGACTAGGTCGGGTTGAGTGCGTTTGGCAGCAAAGGGGCTCTCGTGTGTGGTGGAAATTGCACATGTTCCTACTGTAGCAACTCTCTGGGGTTTGTCTGTACGGTGAGATAATATGGGATGAATGCTAAAGTCTTCAGTGCAATCGTCCTCTGTGGGTGCTCAGGCTGTGTCTGCAGCAGTGCACAGTGTGGGCTGCTCCCTGGCTCTGATGGCAGCGAGTGCAGCTTGATCTGTCCCCGTGCGGCTAAACCACTCTGTGCCTCCTAGCAGGGTGGCATTAGCACTGCTTACTGGCAACTGTCCCCCACTTGGGTTGTCTTCTTAACTTTGGGATGCTGTGAAATTGGTGTGGACCAAATCCAGAGCATTTGAGCAGTTGGATGGTCACTGGCTAGCCCTGGTGCCTGTTGTCTGCTAGTGTAGACACAGCCTCCGTGTCTGACTGGTTGGGTGCTTGCAGCTGCCACTGGGTGGATGTCAATCATCACTGCCCCACTGCTCCTCCCATCCCCTGCCCAGCAGAGCAGCAGTGACAGGTTGGTGCAGGTTCCATGCTCTGGCAGTGCAAAGGAGTTTGGGTTGTTCTTAGGTGGTGGCTGTTGGAGCTCAGCCAGCTGAGGGCTGGAACCACATCTGCTCACCCTGCCCTCCCTCCCACAGATGTGAGCTGCTGTCCTAGTGTGCTCGCTGCATGCTGGAGCCTCTCCTCTGTGTAGGGATGCTCAGCTCACTGGGTCCCCAGCTGTCACAGCACCCCAGAAGCCACTGCTGGCAAGCTGCAAGGCTACTGGAGGTTAGCTGCAGCAGTCCGTGTGAGGGGCAAACATTGAACTTGTTTGTCCTGTGCAGTTTTGCTGCTGGCACACCAGGAAGTGCTTGATCCCGAGTGCTGGGCAGCCTTTGCCTGAGTCTGTTTTGGAAGTGGATCAAGCTAATCCACCCAAAGACATTGTGCAGAACAGTGATGACCCCTAGTAAGTTAAGGCAGGGAAGTGGTGGCCAGCAAGCCCAGATAAAGAAGCATCAGTATTTGCAAAGTAATTACCAGGCTCAAATTCCTCTGTGCCTTTGTTAGGTGAGGTGTATGGTCCAGGCAAGGTGATGAAGGTCTAGTTGTCCCACTGCCCAGCCTCCTCCCAGCCATCACCACCACTGCTCCTGCCCCAACAGCCACAATAAGCATATGCCTATCTGGTGTTAAGCAGCTGAGAGGATCCTGCAAAGCCCTCTCAAGTTCTGTGTCAGGCTCTGGCAATTCCTGCCTATTCACAGAATCACATGGGAACGTGAGTTTAGATCTTGCTGATCTTATAGGAGATATGTCAGTGGATAAGAAGATGTGCCACTGAAAGGTGATTTTGTTACGTTTATACCTTTCTGAGCCAAAATTGAATTGCAGGGTGTGGATGGGAATTCAGTTCGAAGCACTGATGTAATTTGGTATCCTCAGCCCTGAAGGCAGTTTTTTAAAAATTATTTTCCCCTGTGCCCTGACACTGTTTTTTTGCCTTTCAATCATGTCCTTATGACAGAACAAATACTGGGGTTGACCTTTGCAATGTGACATAATAATATGTGACTTCTTTATAGCTCTTTTTATCCAAAATACTTGGCACTCTGTGACTCTGATCCTGCAATCACTTAACGTTGGGCTTAGCACTCAATGCTCCAAGCAATCCCTGGGGAAGTCAGAGGAGCACTCACACACAGATGTGCTATACCTGGTATTATTTTCAGGATCAGGCCCTGAAGACATGTAGCACATGTCTGTGAATAGCTACATTTTGGAGAGAGAAAGAGTTGCCCTCTCATCTATGAATTTTATTCACCATCAGAGTGCCATGCCCAGCACTAACACGACAGCTTCCCCTTGGCTAAAATGTCATGGTAGATAATACTTTAGTCATATTTCTAGCTATCATCTACAACCCTGTTGCTTCTTTGTATTTATTTTTTTTTTCAGCCCTGAAAGCCTGATAATTAATAAACTCCCTTAGCTTATCCTGCACCATTTGCTCCCGCAGAAATCACAGCATTTGATCTTATTAGCAAGTAGGAATTAAAGAATTAAAATTACTCAGAGGGAAAAAAAGGAACATAACCACTTTCCCCATGCATCTCTTCTGAAAAAAACCCTTGTGCTGTTGCCTCAGAAAACCCAAGTTCTGCCCCCTTGGCTTGACAGAGAATGGGAATCCCAAACCAGTAAATGCTTGGGCTGAAAAACGCTTCCTGCTCTATTTCTCTTCTGAAAGGGAGAGCTCAGTTAGGTGTATGGAGAAGGAGGAGAGTCCAGAAGTAAGATCCCAGTCTTGGACTGGGCTGTAAGTCCCTTCCATGCTATCAGTGTTTTCTGTCACTATAGGAAATTCAGGTAGTCCTTCTGTGCCTCAGTTTCCTGGTGTTAAAAGGTGAACCCTGCTCCTCTTCACTGAGGAGATTCACCTGAAAAAAAGATTGCAAGGGACTCAGTCATTATGGTGTTGTCAGACAGGTAAGTACCTTAGAAATAGATAGGGAACACGTAAACAGAGACTTTTGTAGTACTGGTTCAAGGAGAGTGAATTTTGGAAGTCCTCAGTAGTTTTCAAATGCAAAGAGGGAAGCAGGTAGGATCCTTGTACCCCTGTGCTTGTTATGTTCAGGATGGGCAGATCCAGGAGGGAGACCTGGCTCCACCTTCTTGGTGATGACAAATGTTTAAATCTGAGGATGGAGACCCTCTAACCATCAGGAAGGTACCCACACGCTTTGCCTTTGTTTGCCATCAGTAGAACACTGCATCCTTTCATGCCCTTAAAAAAATAAATTCATTAGGAGTAGGGAGGGCTGGAAGGGATTCCCTGGATCATCAAATCCTATCCCCTATTGCATCAATCACATCAGATTTATCCTTTTCATAATCAAGCATCACTATTAAATGTGCTCCTAAGGGAAGACAGTCCCAGAATCTCATTGCTTTAGCTCGTAGATGCTTCTCATTTCCAGTCTGTGCTTAGTCATGGCCTGTTTGTTAAGCAGCGGGTACCTGGCACAGGAGCAAGAAATTTAACACACTTTTCTTAAAATAACCACCCAGAAATCATATCCACAAAAAAATGCTGAGCTTGCAAAAGGGACCACACAAGGTCAGATAATGATAATGGGGAGGCCTGAGCTCACATTTACCTCTCTGCCTAGAACAGACTTTACATCATCACCTGCCGTTAATCTTATATGATCCAGCTGAGCTACAAGGCAGAACTACTCACAGAACACAGGGACTCCTTGGCTATTCTTCTCCATAATGTGCATTGTGTAACCCTCTGTCTCTTTTTGCCAGGTATAACTAAAAATTTGACTGTTTTTTCCCTTTCTTGGCAGGCTTTTCCATGCCATTTATTACTTTACTGTACAAGCCATTACCTCCACAGCATCTCTGAGAAGTCAGTGAGTTGCATTGCCCTGTTTGACAGGGTAGGAAATGAAGCACAGGGCAATCAGCCATATCAAGCCATAGAGCTGCAAGGCCAACTTTCCTCCTCCCAAATGCTTCATGTTTATTCACTGCAGTCTTATTCACTGCAAACCATGCAATTGGGGCCCAGCCAGAGGAGAGGGGCTGGTGCATCACTTTGCCTTCTGGCACACAGCGTATGTTGCACGCCATGGAAATGCTGGGATAGTCCAGACCCATTACTTGCTTGCTCTACAGTCATGTCCAGTTAGTTAATCAGAGTGTACAGTGAAGGGCTGGGGAGGAGAGAAATAGGTGAGTACAGGCAGAGGTGCAAAACCCCTGTGCTACCTGTTGCAGCAGCAATTAGCTGTGACCCAGCCCACAGAGGGCAATGGCACATGGAGTGTTCTCGCTCAGATCAGGTCCCTGCCGCGCAGCGTGATCAGCCAGAGTGACTGAGGAGGAGGAGGAGGAGGAGGAGGGCTCACGTGACAAAAACAGGTTTGCAACTAGGATGCCAAAATCCCATGTTTGCTTATTTAACTTGGCAGGTATTCAAGTAAAACAGACCCGGAGGGGAGGTGTCAGAGCTGATTTTGGTACCAGCGTGTGGGATTTTGACTTTCTATTTCAGTGCTTTTGCTTGGAAAAGAAATACACTCAGAACCCCTTCCCCTCCCCCTGGTCCCCCCCCTTTAAAGCACTGTTTAAATGTCATAAGAACCTTACAGTGCCTGCCTTAATGTTCCTAACAAATTAAAATATTTTATTAGTCTATAATCTGAAAATCATTACCCTGTTTACTATAAAAACCTGAAGCTCTCCAGAGGGAACATCAGCAGGTGTAAAATGTGTGCAAATAGATTTTGTCGCCATAAAGGTAGCAGGGGTCAGGCAGCCCCCAGCCCTGGGGCAACAGGCTGTGAGCATGAAGGGAATGAAGTGCATCTCATAGAGTGGGGAGGGAGAAAGTGGGGCTCATGGCTGGTTTTCCTGGAGTTTTGCAGGGTGACTGCCCGGGGCTGTGCCTGGCTGGTTTGGGTGGTTTCAGAGGAAGGGGTCGGGGGTGTTTTCATCAGGCAGAGGTGCAAAACCCCTGTGCTACCTGTTGCAGCAGCAATTAGCTGTGACCCAGCCCACAGAGGGCAATGGCACATGGAGTGTTCTCGCTCAGATCAGGTCCCTGCCGCGCAGCGTGATCAGCCAGAGTGACTGAGGAGGAGGAGGAGGAGGGCTCACGTGACAAAAACAGGTTTGCAACTAGGATGCCAAAATCCCATGTTTGCTTATTTAACTTGGCAGGTATTCAAGTAAAACAGACCCGGAGGGGAGGTGTCAGAGCTGATTTTGGTACCAGCGTGTGGGATTTTGACTTTCTATTTCAGTGCTTTTGCTTGGAAAAGAAATACACTCAGAACCCCTTCCCCTCCCCCTGGTCCCCCCCCTTTAAAGCACTGTTTAAATGTCATAAGA